AACTGAAAAGTAACTTTAAGTTAAAGCAATAAATACTAATTTCAGTTTTTGTTGCGCTTGCATTTCATCTACTTTGATCAAGTTGCTGTACATGTGAAAACCATATAGAAATTTGACGTCATATGTTAGTTGTCATTGTCGTCTAAAGTTGATAAAGCTTGAATAACAGAGTTGCAAGATTATATCCAATCGTTTGAACTTATCGAGTTCGTAAGATTTTCCTAGGTGGATCTTTGTTGCAGATATTAATGCCATTATGTGATGAAATTCCGAGAAACGGATCTTTGGTATACACACTTTGGACGTGCTTAAACATTTTACCTCATATTTGGCACTTGTTTATGGTAAAGTTGCTTACTAGTCAGATCGGCAGTATCAAATCTGAAATAGTTGTTCCCCTCTAGAGTGTGAAATGAAGAACTCTTCCGCATATGTGTATAGGTACTTTACACTGCTGGTTGATCATGAGTAAATCACTATTTTATTGGAAATTACATAAAACAGAAACGATTTGGTGCAGGACCAAAGTTTTGGCCCATATTATCATCCTTTCTCAACTGCAAACAATCAGTATAACATACGGAGGTAGCACGAAATGGTCAAGATGTATTTACAATTGTCTTTCCGTCTGGAGTGTACGCTAATTACTCCATTAAGGAAAGAAACTCTTGCATCTCTGTTTATGGCTCTCGTTTTGCCTTGATTATGAGCACTTCTTTTTTTGTTACTACAGTTGGGCAGTTAAAGTCGACGCTATGTCCGGTGGAAATATGGTGGACGGGGGGCTGCTGCCGAGCTTTTTTCCAGCTTAACTGTCCAGCCATAGTAATAACCGTTTGGAACTACAAAGAGCGTGTAGTTGCCGAAGCGCTTTTAATATGGACAGAATCAAACGTCATGAACTACTTGCTGCAGCAACCAGGTTAACCAACGTGTAACCCACGAATATAAGAGACATTTGCAAAATGGTGTCAGCACAAGAATCAGAAAGGAAGAGCTGCAGAGAGTTCGCTTCAACCATTTTTAAACTGGCAGGTTAATGCCTCTTCTAGGTATCATCGACGTCCGGTACATCGTTTCCAAACGAACTGAGCGTTTATGTGAGCGCGCGTCAAAACTTATCGACCGATGACAAACCAGATTTTGTGGAATGAATGAGTGATCATGAATCGACAAGGTAACTCAATCAGTTTAGTGGCTTTTATGATTCACATTATAATCGGTATTAACGATGGTTATATTTCAATTCTTTAACTGATGCTTGAAGCTCTTTATACAAGAAATTTCAACAGAATTGCATCTTTGTCAAGTTACGCAGTAAGAAGCATAGACCGCCTTAAGACGTTGATGGAAGGATTCGAGAACAAACAAAGGACTGAATAAATGAATAATGAAATAGTGACGTAACTAGTGTGAAAAGTAGCACGGTTTTCACACTTACTATTTCCGTTGCAAAGAGTTATACCGGGAAGTAATGCTTGTGGTTGCCAGTGCATCGCCGTTCTAAACCACTTCATGTTGAATCGTAATACAAGCCTAACTTCGCTTCTATTTTAGCAGATTACACAATGACTACAGTGGTAGCCTGCATGAGGGACGGTCTCACGTTTCCTTCCAAAATAAATATTATTGCTGTCCTAATTTGTAGTCGAAATAACTCTCTAGAACCAAAATCAGACTTACACATGGGAATCTCACCAGTCTCCAGTTGCCAGTATGTTTTAGACAACAATTTCAGATAAGAAGCCTTCACAGCTATCATAGTGACTGAGATGACTACGCTCTGCGAATCTTCGTCCCTTGACAACAGTCAGCAGATGCAATTTCTCAAGAAGCTCATGTATTCTTGGATTCATGCGCAACCAAACTGTTTGATCATGAATTGGCCTTGATATGGCAGTTTATTTTGTGTGGTTTCTACAAATATCATGGAAAAATTTAAAGATCTCGTTGTCAACAAACAGTAATGTCATAAGCCTCATCGACAATAGCGATCTATTTTCATCAAATGTATGCTCATGAGGATTAAACGGAGTAAGCAGTTTGTCTGGCTTGCTTAAACGTCTAATTCTCAGGCGGGGAAAAGCTTTTTTGACGGTAGGATAAAAGTCGAGCAGGCTGAGGCAGTTAGTGCAAAGAACAAACGACACAATAAGATGCTCATGACTGTTCGTACCAACCAGTAAGGCGCATCAGAGGTGAGTGGGCTGCAGCACACTAGTAATAATAAGAGCTATTTTCTGGGATGAGGACATAATGATTGAAGTAGAGTATCGAATTAGTTAACAATATATTATTCAATCTATCAGGACCTACTTCTGCGTTT